TGTTGCCGGCGTTGCTGCGAAGGGCAGCCCAGTCAACTCGTTGTACTACCTGATTGACGACACACACGTCAATCCTCGTGCTGTCTGGGAGGCCATGGGCTCGCCCACCTATCCCACTCCCGCTCAAATTGTGGCCCTGCACGAGGCGAGCACCCTGCATGCCCAGCAGCTCCCTTACTCGGTTGTTGGCTCTGACATTACCTTCACCTTCAACCTTGTCCCGTACTCGACCGTTGCTGTGTTTATTCCGCTGCAGTTCTACTAGAGCCGGAGCTTTGGAAAACGCTCACAACGTGAGCAACAAATACAAATCCGTCGTTGCTCCGCCATTGTTTGTTCTTTTGCTTGACTGTCGTTGCAGTTCACGGCGCTGATTGCACGGCCAAGAGAATAGCGAATGAAAGAAAAAAAAAGAGTGTCGGCCCCTCATGCCACAACTTGATTTGTGGCGGGCGCCTGATGCGCTGTGTGCGGCTGGTCGACCTGCACATTAGAGCGACACTATGATCAAGAGCGATTCAAATGAGTAACGTGACATTGGGGAAGAGTTGGTGGGAGCTTGCCTTTGAAGACAAAACGAAACACCAACCGAAAGAAAAAGCGAACACGTCCACGAACATCAACTGTGTCTCAACATGTCGAGTCATCGTCGTCATGATGAAGCTGGACAAACGAAACAAACACACCATTGACACGTTGACGCCATGACTTCCAAAAATACCACTTGAACAGGTTCAGTTGCCGTTTCACCTTCATACCGTACGCTTGTCTTGAACACGATGCTGAGTGCTCGTCTTGCGCTCATCAAAGTAGCATTCCGCGGTGCTGCTTCATGTACTACCACGACTCTTGCGCCGAAACGTCTGCATGGTAAGGTTCTTGATCTTGTTTCCGTCCACCGGCGTCCCTTCCCACTTCCCTGCGCTGTTGGTCAATGAGAGCCAACGCGCGGGGTCGTTGTGTGGGGTGCATGCGCGCCAACGTTCGGCCAAATGTTGTTTCTCGCTTCCGTGCTGAGTTTGGCCTCATTACCGGGCATCAGGGCCCCTGGACTCGCGCTCCGCCCCTTGCCTACAATGCCAACTCTATCACCTGCGTACTAGCAGCTGGTGACTGGCGTCCGTCGTCTCTTTCGGCTTGAAGACTTGTCTCGGCTGCGATGGTTTTAACCCAATTAAGCGATCTCAACTCCTCATTCAGAACGGAGAGGTAGACGTCGCCGTTCATGCGGTCGCCGAGCTCGGAGAAGAAGGAGATGCCGTAACGCGAAATCGCTCCCCACACATTGATGTGCCCAGTCCTCTTTTTCTGTGTTCCAGCGCCTTCCCACCAAAGCCCGAACACACACGCCCAACGTCAGCGAATCAACAGCCCAACGCCAACCCAGAAATGACTGGCCCGCCCAAGACTTCTGGGACTGGTCCAGGCCAACCCGCCATCGCGTCAGCGTTAGCGGCGGCCGCCCAACATCAACAACGCGCCAGCAGGACTGCGTCCCCAAGCAGCCAAGTGGACATGACGTCCAATGACCCCGTGTCCGTCCTCCCCACCGCGACATCCGGTGGCAACGCCGGCCTCAACCTCAACCTCAACCTCATCCTCCTCCTCCTCCTCCTCCTCCACTGCCTCCTCTTCCTCATCTGCCGCAACCACCACTGCGACCAGCGCCCGCAACCACCACTGCGACCAGCGCCCGGACTAGCCTCGGCGCCAGCGCCAGCAGCAGCGGCAAAGGCCCCTCCACCAGCTACAGGAACGCTGTCGCAGCCAACACCGGAAACGATCCTGACACCGACACCGAAGCCGAAACTGCCCCGCTGTCCTTTGAAGAAGCCCGGAAGCTCTTTGAAGACGCAGGCAGCCCAACACTGACCATCCCCCAACTCCCCGTCAACAAATGGAACGAAGCAACCGTCTACATCGTCAGGAACTACCACCATGTCTTCCACACGCACGCCAAGCTGTTCTCTGCGAGCTTCACATCTCAGGATGCGTACCGCAAAGCCCTGCAAGAGGGCGTCAAACTAGGCAGCTAC